ATTTAAGGAAATCTACTTTGTGACCGGGACAAGGTTGATGTGATTGGATTTTTGTTGAATTCTTAGATATAAGTAAATAATAGGGAACCAAAAGAGTGATAACCAAGTCATTCCAAAAGAAGGGCCCAGTCATAAAAACACGCAACAAAAAGTGTGAAAATGAAAAAAAAAAAAAAAAAGAATCTATTTATTCAACTCTTATCATGTTTATAGGATGGAAAAATGTAATGTTTCATAGGGACTGCAATATTTTTTGTTCATATAAGTCATCTTAGCCATGAGAATTTTTACAGTTTTTAAATTATTGAGTGTTTTCACAAGAGGATAAAAACTTAGTTGACAACTATGCTTTAGAAATGCAGGCAACTGATTAGCTATCTTTTAAGGCAATATCTTGTTCAAATAAGTATTTATTTTTTACAAAAAAAAATTTCATTGCCTCCTATTCTAAGATTGCATTTACTACTGAAAATATTTCACACTTGATCCAAAAGAAAAATATGAAATTCAATACCGGTATTAATTTAGACTAAAAAAATCTTGTGTCCCCTCTGTCTAAAATGTTTTTGGGAATTTAGTATTTGAAATGCTGTGACAAATCAAAACGTTGAGACTCTATAAACATGATAAATAGTCATGTTCTTTGGTTCAAATTATAATTCTGAGAGATAATAGCATAAACATATAGCAATGATGGAAATGAAAAGTTGTGAAAATGATTATTTGTTTGATACAAATTGTTGTCAGTTCTAGATACAATGTATATTTAGGTGGTAAATACACAATATATTTGTAATTAGGAATTTCATGCATATATATTTACTAAAATTCCAAGTGCACTTTGAAAACCCATGATACATGTATATAATAATGATAGATCCTCTTAAGCTTTTTGTCAACAGATGTAATAAATCACTAGATTATTTGTAGATTTTTACACATACATATAAATGTATTTCCTGACTGCAAATCAGGTAAATCAAAGACTTAATTATCATTAGTAGTATTGATAGTTTATGCCAATATTTTAATTTCTAATAAGTTCTTGTTGAAAAAGGCTAATGACAAAAAGAGGAGTTTTACAGAATAATAACAAAAATTGTCATAAGCTTCTGTTACAAAAAGTCAAAGACTCAAAATGCCCCAATAAACAAGATTCTTTTTACTTTAAATGGTTTTGATGATTTTTCTGAGAATCTCCTTGTAAAATTTCCTTTGTGCATTTAGCTGTTTTTTAATAAAATTTGAAAAAAGCTTTTTCCAAAATATCACAACAATACACAAAGGTGCAGTCTTTCAGATCCAAATGAATAAATCTTATTCTTTTCACATGTTTTTATACGACCGCAAAAATTAATAATTTTTTGGTCGTATATTGGTATGACGTTGGCGTCGTCGTTGTCGTCTGGCGTCGTCCGAAGACACATTGGTTTTCGCACTCTAACTTTAGTTTAAGTGAATGGATCTCCATGAAATTTTACCATAAGGTTCTATACCACGAAAGGAAGGTTGGGATTGATTTTGGGGGTTATGGTACCAACAGTTAAGGAATTAGGGGCCAAAAAGGGGCCAAAAATAAGCATTTTTGTAACTTCCAGACAATAACTTGTGTGTAAGTCTATGGATCTCTCTGACATTGTACCACAAGGTTCCATATCACAAAGGGAAGGCTGTAATTGATTTTGGGGGTAATTGCTTCAAAATTTTAGGAATTAGGGGCCAAAAAAGGGGCAAAAAACAAGCATTTTTCTAGTTTCATAACAATAACTTGTGTTCAAGTGTATGGATCTCTCTGAAATTGTACTGCAAGGTACCATACCACAAAGGGAAAGCTGGGATTGAGTTTGGGGGTGATGAATCATAAGGGGGTTCAAAAAATTTGGGGGGGGGGATTTTTTTTTTTTTCTTTTAAAATTTTCCATTTTAAGTTGGTTATTTCTGATTTATATTTAAAAGCAAATAATAATGATATGGTAGGAGATACACACCAAACAGGATGTGTAAATTATTATATAATAAGTATTGTGCAATAGCAAGAAATTTTCAATTGCACAGTATTGCACAATAGCAAGAAATCTTCAATTGCACAGTATTGCGCAATAGCAAGAAATCTTCAATTGCACAGTATTGCGCAAAAGCAAGAAATATCCAATAGGACAATATTGCGCAATAGCAAGAAATTGTCAATTGTACAGTATTGCGCAATAGCAAGAAATATTCAATTGCACAGTATTGTGCAAAAGAAGATACTTCGTATAAATTGCTTATTTCGTGATCAATTTCAATGGGGTTTTGTTCTTGAATTCTTGGGGTTCTTTAATATGCTGAATCTAACTGTGTATTAAGTTTTTGGATTTTGGGCCCCGTTTTTAAATTGGTCCACATTGAGGTCCAAAGGGTCCAAAATTTAACTTTGTTTGATTTCATCAAAAATTGAATTATTGGGGTACTTTGATATGCCGAATCTAACCGTGTATTTAGATTCTTAATTTTTGGTTCCTTTTCAAATTGGTCTACATTAAGGTCCAAAGGGTCCAAAATTAAACTTAGTTTGATTTTAACAAAAATTGAATTTTTAGGGTTCTTTGATATGCTGAATCTAAACATGTATTTAGATTTTTGATTATGGGCCCAGTTTTCAAGTTGGTCCAAATCAGGGTCCAAAATTAAACTTTGTTTGATTTCAACAAAAATTGAATATATGGGGTTCTTTGATATGCTGAATCTAACCATGTATTTAGATTTTTGATTTTTGGGCCCCGTTATCAACTTTGTCCACATTGAGGTCAAAAGGGTCCAAATTAAACTTTTGTTTGATTTCATCAAAAATTGAATTCTTGGGGTTCTTTGATATGCTGAATCTAACCATGTATTTAGATTTTGGATATTGGACCATAATAGGTGAATGTCCAATTTGAAATTTTTAAGTTCTTAGACCACATTCATTCTGTGTCAGAAACCTATGCTGTGTCAAATATTTAATCACAATCCAAATTCAGAGCTGTATCAAGCTTGAATGTTGTGTCCATACTTGCCCCAACTGTTCAGGGTTCAACCTCTGCAGTTGTATCAAGCTGCGCCCTGCGGAGCATTTTATTCCCATCTGTGATTATATTTAATATTAAGTGTGACTTGTGTTTATGTAAATAATTTTATACTTTTTGTACAATTATAATTTATAAATATGTATTTTTATGGTATTATCTGTAAAATATTACAGTTGTAACATTAACTTATTTGGCTGTCTTAATTTAATTCCTTTGTTTGGAGTTGTTTCTCCTCGAAATTGGTATTCTATATCAAAGTGTGATTTGTTTGTTTATCTACATTTTTACTCAAGGGTGTTCCAAGAAATGAGCCTTAACTGTAAAGTTTTCCAATTTGTGTACAACCTATTACAATATGTTGGAAGGTGCTGGTGTTTAGAAATGCAGTTCTCATTATTGTCACAGAAAAAGTATTAAATTGAAATAAAAAATCATCAGACATGTAAAATTTAGTCTATAATTAGAAAATATGGCTTGGAAAGTTGGAATGTAGACTTTCAATTTACATCTGCTACCGGTACTGTGACCCAAAATTGGATATTGATGGCAATGCATACCTTTTTATACGACCACAAAATTTTTGGGATCGTATAATGGTATGATGTCGTCGTCGTCTGCGTCGTCGTCCGAAGACACATTGGTTTCCGGACAATAACTTTGGTTTAAGTGAATGGATCTCTATGAGATTTTTCAAGAAGGTTCAATACCACAAAAGGAAGGTTGGGATTGATTTTGTGGATGATGGTCCCAACCGTTTAGGAATTAGGGGCCCAAAAAGGGGCCCAAAACAAGCATTTTTCTAGTTTCAGGATAATAACTTGTGTATAAGTATTTCGATTGCTCTGAAATTGTACCACAATGTTCAATACCACAAGTTGAAGGTTGGGATTCATTTTAGGGATTATGGGTCGAACAGTTTAGGAATTAAGGGCCAAAAAGGGGCAAAAAACAAGCATTTTTCTAGTTTCCAGACAATAACTTGTGTGTAAGTGTATGGATCTCTCTGACATTGTACCACAAGGTTCCATATAACAAAGGGAAGGCTGGGATTGAGTTTGGGGTTAATTGCCCCAAACATGTAGGAATTAGGGGCCAAAAAAGGGAGCACTGAACATTTCTTAAACAACTAGTATATATATATACATGTATCCAATGGATGGATCTGTCGTAGAGTTGTCACTTGCAGATTTAACGTTGTTGTGCTGATATTTAGAGTAATTATGAATATAATATGTGTTTTCAGCAGTGAATCACCTTCACTGGTGATCCAATAGATGGATCTGTCGTAGAGTTGTCACTTGCAGATTTAACGTTGTTGTGCTGATATTTAGTTCAGTCTAGGTGGCCGAGTGGTCTAGAGCGCTGAACACAGTGCAGGCGGTGTTGTCTCAATATCCCAAGGGCCAATAGCATGCGTTCGAATCCCGGCGAAGGAAGAACAAAAATTTGCTTCCTCAAATTTGCAGATTTAACGTTGTTCTGCTGATAGTTAGAGGAATTATATATATATATATATATATATATATATATAGTGCACTGAACATTTCTTAAACAACTAGTATAAAACAAGGGAGATGTGGAATGATTGACAATCAACTACTATCTGCAACTAGATACCAAAGAGCAAGGATGTAAAATAACTATATGGCACTGTATCTTCATCAATTAGCAAAACCTTTAACTGTAGACTTAGCTACAAAAGACTGGAATTATGAAATGGGAAGCATTTCTCTTCCTAGTTTGAATCATGAAAGCTTAAGGGAACACCACTTTTACAGGAACTTAAAAGAAAATTAACTCACAGAAAAAGACATCAATACATCTATACAAAGAGGTATTTTCAAAATGGTGGGGAAAAATGTAGTTACTTCAAATACATTATCATCATCATTGATGTGAGAAAATATTACCATTTGTTCCATAGCATTTATCTTAACTGTTTTTTTTATTCAGACCCAGAATGTATATTAACATGATGGACTTCAGTAATGATAGAGACGCCTTACTTAATTACTACCAAGACCTTTTGATAAATAACCAGATCAGTGCTTGTAAAAGACGTAAGCTGTCAGATTCTGACCCAGGAGCAAATGACTTATTGTCAGAGGAAACAAGAAACAGAGAGTCTTGTAAGTTTATTTAAACAATTTTAACAAATATATTTGTTGCATTGTTTATTGATTACTATGTGTTTACTGCCACTTGGTAATCCAATGGCAATGGGGATATAAGACTGGCAAAAATGATTATCCTCAAGTGATTGATTGCATTTTTGACAGAGGATATGTATGCCATATTTTTGTTAGCAAAATGACGTAGCTAGTCTTTTTCCATAATAGATCATAGCTTACATGTAACAAATAGTTATTCATCAAAAAGCAAATAAGAAGATTGTGTAATGATTTAAAAGATGGTTATACTGAACTGTATAAAGGTGCATAATAAGTGAGAAAGGATAACTGGAACCATAAAAAAAATATTGGGTAGCACAACAAATCACAAAAACCACTTCTATACTTTAGATTTAAAGCTTCCAAAAACATCAAAATAAAAATGATGTAAAAAATGTCCAAGTCTGTAATCTGTTTTATTGCAATGTTAAGTCTTATTTCATTGATGATAGTTGTGTCACACAAACAGTTTCTATATATATATTATTCAGACATTTTATGAATTGCCCAACAATGTAATTTTAACACACTATTGAGTATGTAAATATTAGAATGTTTAAAATATTTACAACGTGATAAATAATAAATGCAATATTTCGCTAGACAAACTAGCTTCATCAAGCGTGCATCTATCCAGGTGAAATCGGACGTAGATAAGAAACTTTTGCAGCTCATTGTACATAAATTTAGCTGTCTTGTAAAGAATTCAAAATTTGGATGAAGTTCAAGATTATTAACAAAATTGGTGGTTGAAGTTTGTAACGTCCATTGGCCAATATCACAGGATATATATCTATTATGTCTATATTCAGACATTTTATATATATATATATATATACACCTGTTTCATGAGAAAGAGTCTGTAAGTGAAATTTTATACATGATTTTAAGTACACACACACACACATATTTTAAATTTTGCCAATGGGTGTGAAGAGTATGTATCAATAAATTCTTTAAAATTAACTGAAAAGTTTGAATCAAAATGTATCATTGAAATATAAATCAGACAAAATACATCTACAGATCTTTTTAATCATCGTGCCAAAAATTCAAGTGAAAGGGAGAAGTTTTTTGTTTCAATAATATTTATTGAGGAAATTAATGCACTAGTTAATAATCAGCAGATATTAGGTGAAAAAAAAGCTAATTTGAGAATTTTCAGTTTCCTTATAAGTTATTTTGTGCCAATTGAAGTTAAAAAAAAATGCAAATCATTGGAAATAATTCTTTTTATAAATGTCTTTGCATAATTTATTTTTATAGGGGAATTAATTTTTAAATGTTTTTATTGATTAAATATACAGAAAAGGATTTTCCACTTCCTTATAAATTAATTTTCTGGGACTTTGTAGCTCTGTGTATATCCAATCATTCTACTGTGTACAATACACTAAACACATAATAAATATATATATATAATGGAAAACTTCCCTTTTCAGGCATTTAAATCATGTACCTTGACCTATTTTAATGTATAAAATAAACTATTGTATATAGATAATAGGCACTTGATAAAGAATTTCTTAGTTAAGATTGTACACATTTGTAAATTACATTTTAAAGAAATCTATCTTCAACAAATTCAATAGAGTTATATTTCTAATGTATTTAGTTTATTAGACACTTTCTTGAAATTAAAAGCTTTATTTTCTTAGATACCACTTGACATCAGGTGTATGTTAAGTGATGACTAAGACTTGATTTAAATATTTGAGGCCATATATGGTTTAATTTTACATAAATATGTACGAAGTACAAATGAGTCAAAGCATTTGACTCAACTTGTTCATTCAAGGCAAGCATGCATTCAACAAGTATCTCATTAGTATCTCAATGAGCTGTTAAGATCATTAAATCATACAGTTGATGCAGGTCTTTGTAAATGGTCTTAAATTTTAGACTTTAAATATGTACATGTTAATTGTAGTTCATTATAGGTTTTGGAAAATTTTCAAGTTTTGTTGATCATAATATTGCAACTTGATCCTTTTTCTTTTTAAATGTATTGATAAACATAGGAACAAAAGATCTATGTCATTGTCCTTCACCATAAGATCACACATAATTATTTTTTTTAAACATGACAAAAGTAACCTGTAAATTTATTTTTCCTATGAAATTGAACATGCATGAATGCCTTGCTGGAAGTATTTTAATTGTCTGCCAAAAACGTTGTTTCTGCTTTCAGTTTGTTGAAATGAAAGATTATTAATCTTTTTAACTGCAAAAGAAAATTTCATCTGAATAAAGTTGTTAAAGAATATTTAAATTTAAATTCAATCATTCAGGCATTGTTAATTAAGACAATCATGATATGATACTTGTATATGGTAGAAGTCAGTAAATTGTTGGCACTCTTTTGATGTTAAATTTTCTAAATCATTACTGTATGAGAAACATAAAACTAGTGTTATGTAATGCTCATCTAACTTAATTTTAATATGGAACATATTGCAAATGTTCCTACTGTGGACTCATTCATAGTCGTTGGTAAGAATTTTTTGGTTAGAGAAAAAATGCTATTGTAAGGGTCCAAATTTTGTTATTTCATCATTTGCTTCTATTAACTATTATCAAATATTTGCATTCTGTTGAGCATTTAATTTTGTGGTTCCCCTATGAATGAAATCCACAAAACTATTAGTGAAGCCGTTGTATTTCATACTGCAAGTAGAATGTTTGGATAGTTTGATTTTGAATAGAGACGAAGTTTATTTATCAGAACCTTTTCAGTTAATAAAGCACCAATTCTTTTTAAAGTTTAATTTTTCGCAGTGTTTGGAGTGGAAAAGTGGGATTAAGTGAATGAACATTAATTCTTTGAATATTCTAATTTAAAAGACAATTCTGGTTTCCAGGTTGTTTAAGAATTTTAATAAATTGAATCAAGCATTTTCTTTTCCTTACATTTATTATATTATCAGAAACAGGAAAGGGAAGAACTTATCATAGAGACATTCAAAAACCCATAAGTTGAAAAAAAAAGACAAAACCAAACACAATTAGAAAAGGGAAAAAGACAAATTTGTCCACAAAAAACTACACAGAAGAAACAAAGAATGAGCAATGCTAAGGGTTACTACCCACCTCACCAAACATTTTGGTGAACTTAGGTTCTCCAAAAGAGTAAGCAGTTTTAGCTACATTAACATGACTAACTACTAGCAACTGAAATGTTACTTATGGCAAGTAATAAGTTTGGAATACATGTATGTCTCATTTGGTAATGTGACAATTGAGGAAAAGAGGACAAGATTGGTGATTGGATATTATAAAGTGGAACATACATGTATCTATGGTCATTCCATAATGATCAACTAAATAATGATTGCATCTGTAAAACTTTTAAATGTAAGTCAATCACTGCTTTGTAAGCAGCAAACCTTTATAATAAAAAACAGGATAGGAAATGCAAACCCTAGAATATCCTATTACATGGGAAATGTAAATTGAAATAAGCATGCAAATAGTTATTTAAATTGTATTACATGTTATGATGTATCTGAACTCTTAAATTAACTTTTCAACTGTAGTAATACTTGAATTTCTGTTTTTAGCTTTGGACTCCCCATCTTCTACATCTTCAACAGCAAGCAGTGAACAGGGAAGTGATTCTGATAATCCACCATTGAAGGATGTTACAAAAGAAAAGGTCAATAGTATTCCAAATCATATATCAGAAGAAACCAAAGTAGATGATGTAGCCCTACCTCAACAAAGTGGTCCAGAACAGGGTTCTTATGAATGTCCACAATGTGAGAAGAGCTTTGCTTACATGGGTAACCTCAAACGCCATATCAAAATGCACCACGGAGAATACAGGCCATTCAAGTGTAACCTGTGTACTAAAAGATTTTGGGGAAACGACAGTCTAGAGCAACATTTCAAACGTGTACATACTCAGGAAAGGCCATATGCATGTGCACATTGTGAAAAGAAGTATTCTGTATGCTATGACCTGCAGAAACATGTACGTGCAGTCCATGGGAAGGATATTGATTGGGAAGGGGACATACCAACAAGACCAGACACAGAAGTACAAGGTACACACAAAGTCACTGGGATCAAAACAGTTCATCTAGAGCAGCTCAATTACAAATGCAAGTTTTGTAGTAGAGGCTTTGCTACAGTTAATGGACTGGGAGTGCACCTTAAAATGCATTTTAGGTGCAAAATCTGCCTAAAAGGCTTTAATACTGAAGATTCATTGAAAATCCACATGAAAAAAGCTCATGATATGGGTTTGAACCAAGAATATGTATTGTAAATGATAAAACTAACAAAATTCTGTACCTATCTTCTCTTGCCGAAAATATTTGTGCTTTTTGTTTTAAAAAAAGGTTTATTAATTTTTTTCCTATAGTGCTACCATAGTGCTCCCATTTTCTTCAAAGAAATCTAAGAAATTAAAATGTGATACAAATTCAATAATATCAATCAAATTTTCTTATTTTATAGAAATGCTATCCATGGAAGCCATAAATATATGTAAAAAAATGTTAATTTTGAAAATTTCATCAGTATTATTTTCAATCCAAAGTCCCAATTTTTATAACATTTACCCATTTGTAAATAAATGTCATATTGTAAAATGTCAGGTCTTGGCTAAAATTTCAATCATTTTGTATTAAATTGTTAGTAATCAACATTCTTAAAAAGTTTTCCAATTGTTTGTGTTGAAATACAGAAGCATATTTAAGCTTATATTAATATAGTTTTATTTAGTATTGGCATAATATGACAAGATCATTGGTCTTCCATTTTATTTTTATACGAAAGCCAAACTTAAATAAATGCTTGAACTTTTATCATATTAAACATGTTAAACCAATTGTTAGTGTGTTTAACTGTCAGTAATAAGGCACCGGTGTTGCAGTGTTGTTGATGTCATCTGTTTGTTTATATACTGTTTTTTTTTTTTTTAATAGAAATCCATTTTTTTTTATATTTTGTATAAGAAGATAAACATGTTAGTTATTATAATTTTTGGACTTTACTGTTAGTTTATTATCTGAATTATTAATGATTTGTTCATGTATAACTTCTTTCAACAGAAGTTGTGTAATTCTTTTGTTTTCAAGTTTTGTTGACATTCCAAATATGTAAATGATTTGTTCATGTATTATTTTATCTTTCTTCACATATTTTCATCTGTTTTCACCATTGAAAAAGGTCTTTCAGTCTTGCTGGTGCATTTTAAAAGGAAATTCAAAACACCTTATCCTATTAGTATTTGATCACAAAACATGAATGATGTTCCCATAAAATTTTGAGATGAGGAAGGAACAATTTTTCATGTGTAAAGATAAGTGACTGTTTAATGACCTGAAGTTGCATAATTGAAATTATTTATGAGTTGTATTCTAGATATTGAGGAAAATACAATTGTTTAATTTCAAACAACAAAGACATATTTTTTTGCTAAGATTAATAACTAAACAATAATAATAATAATTATAATAATATTAATAAGATATTATTTGTAACATATTTTCCATTCTGGGTTATAGATTTTTATTTAGTGATGATGGACCTTTCCAAATTTTAAGATAAAAGTGTATTGTACTGGTATATATTTTATTAGTCCCCTACAGACGAATTCGAAGGGGACTTTAGGTTTGCACTCCTTCCGTCTGTCTGTCCATCCGTCAGTTCAGCAAATCAGTTTTCCACCCTTTTTTTCTTGGTGCTTGAAGATATTAATTTAATATTTGGTATATTGTTTTATCATAACAAGTTACAGATCAAGTGCGAATTTTGTTCCGCTCTGATGATTTTGTGCAGAGAAAGGTCCTTGGATTGAAAAATTCACTCAAATAATCAGTTTTCCGCACTTTTTTTCGTCATGCTTGAAGATATTGATTTTATAATTGGTATATAGTTTTATCATGACAAGTTACAGATCAAGTTTGAATTTTGTTCCGGTCTGATGATTTTGTGCAGAGTTATGGTCCTTGCACTTAGAAAATTCACTTAAATAATCAGTTTTGCACACTTTTTTCGTCATGCTTGAAGATATTGACTTGATATTTGTTATATAGTTTACACCATGACAAGTTATAGATCAAGTTAGCATTTTGATTACAATCAATTAAGTTAGATAGGGTCTAATGACAACATAAAAGTCACTTGAGTTTAGTCTTTCACAAATTGAATTTTGTCTTTTAACTGAATAAATGGTTGATTGAAAACAGTTTGAAAATATGCCGAAAATTGTCTATTTCATTGTTTGTATTTATGTTAATATATACCTTTTTCTGACAATTATACCCTGTTCACAATGCAACAAAATTGATGTAATTTCAATAAGACATTAAGGAGATTTTGAGTTCACTCATATTCCAGGTTTAATCTTCATTAGATGTGTACTCATCAGATCGGTAAACACTACTTTCATGAGGTTGTCTGACATGAAAATTCACCCAAATCTGACATGCATTTGGAATTAAGGTTATTGTGACCTGTAAATTCAGAGTAAATTTGGATGAACTAATGCATATGAACACAAACAGGGTGCCATATTAGATGAGAAATTGATAAGTATTGTACATCAGATTTAGTATTTGTGAACAGGGTTTAAGATTGCTTGTTTGTAAATTGACATATATATGTTACATATAGGAAATAGATTTGGGGGCATCAGTGTGTACATGTTACAATTTTAAAGCTTTAATCACATTATACTTATGAAGTTTTAAGTCTGCAGACTTTGATGTTTCTGTTCATTAATTAATGAATATCCAGGCAGTAATTATTTTACAATTAAAATGTGGTTTTAATTAAAGGTAATGACTTAGTTATGTAAAAATTAAACAATGTCATTGCTGCAATGACTTTTGAAATTTTTAACATCCATTGATTAGCTGTCATGAATGAATAAGGTTACCTTTTATTGAATTAGTAGTACTTTTTAATTGAAGTTCAAATTAATGATTTGTTGGAATGAGAGAAAAAACTGCCATCTCTGTTTTGTTATTGTAAAGTAATATGACATTATAGCGTGTAAGATATGTATTCAAGAATGACAAACAAGAGATATTGTTGAAGGAAAGAAAAGAGGGGGCATTTTTTTATCTCTTTTGTTATTTTTACACATACTGGTATATGGTTTTATTTGACTTGCAATGTAGGCAAGATGTTGTTTTAAATGTAACAGGATTTTTTGAGTAACAATCCATATAATTTATTAAAGGAAAATTGTAGGGGGCATTTTACCATACAGTTACTCCTAATTTTTATTGAGTTTATTTGTACAAGCATTACTATTACTTTTATGTACTCAGATATTTATAACAAATATATTACAAATGAGTTATAATGGAACCAGGTACGTGTAAGGTCAGACTCAAAATTTGGAAATATTGATATTTTTTTTTTAACTTGGATATCTAAAGCTTAAGCATTTTACATATACATAAAAATTATCTGGCTAAAACACTGCTACATCAAAGAAAAATAAACCACAGTCAGGAATATTGTCACTGATAATAAGTAGTTCAATCCTGATATTGAATTTCAAGAGTAGTGATGGGGGCCACGGTGGCCAAGTGGTCTAAGTAGTTCTACTACTGTAATCACTAGCCAGTCAACACTGAGGTTGTGAGTTCGAACCCCGCTTGTGAGGGTGTACCCCGACTCCAATCTTAATTGACTAGGATTGTCATTTTTCCTATGAAGGTCAGTGGTTTTCACTGGGCACTCCGGCTTCCTCCACCAATAAAAACTTGCCGCCACGAAATAGCCCAAAAGTGGCGCTTAAAAGTGGCGTTAAAACACCAACAATCAATCAATCAATCAAGAGTAGTGATAGCTGATGGGCAGGTACTAAAGCTAAACATAATAACTTTGTTATTATAATTCAGAGAGGCAAAAATTAATTCACTATTTTGAGTTTGACACTCAATTTAATGAGATGAACTATTTGAATGCTGCATAATTTAAAATTATAAAATATTTTGGAAACAGATACTTATTGGTGGTTTAGGAAAAAAAGAAATAATAATGCTGGCATTTAAGTAGCAGGAAATATATCCTTCATTGTAGATATGCTTGTTATATTACTTGCTTCTTAAAACTTTAGTTACAGGAAAATAAATTCAAGTACCAAATATTGGCTGTGCGATTTGATTATCAGAGGACTCAGTTAGAAGTTTCTACAGGGGTCTGTTGGAATGTACAAATGTTTAAAAATAATAGTTCTGTATAGGAACAGATGTAATGTGTACTTGAAAAGGACAGTTTGGAGTTAATTCAATGAATTTTCTACCTTTTTGAGTATTAAATTTGTTACATATGTAACTTTTTGATTCTAATTTAACATCATTGATTTTTGATATAAATTATGACAAAATATTAACTTTTTATTCCATTATCTAGGATGCTTAAAAATGCTATCCATCAGAAGTGGTCTCACTAGAGGTTGTGTCTTTTTCTATGCAAGCTCAATAACAACAAAAATTCAGTGTACTTTGGCCATCACTTGAAAAAATATTTCCTTGTGGATTGACATATTACCCAACAATTAAACTTGAAAGAAGTTAATGTGCTATACATGTATAATCATGATGGCAATATTTATAGGACTTGTTTTCATGTCATTAAATAATTTTTTTAATATCTGTTACTTGTATTATTTTTGAAGAATTCAAAATTCTTTTCAATTGATTGTAAATAGTAGATTTTCATTAGAATTTTCATTGAGTTAACTACAGGGCATTAGAGAGTGATTTGTTATGCAGAAACTATGTTAATCCAGTTTTAATTAAATTTACTAGAGAGATATATGTTTTTTTATTAAAATACTGATAGTTTTATTATGATGTGTAAATAACAAATTTATATTGTTGATGTTTAATATTTTTCAGAAAAAAATCATGACCCAATTAAAGCAACGAAGGCACGGTATATAAAAGATTCAATTACAACGACGCTCACTAAATTAAAAAAAATAATTATCATTTTTATATACATATTGTGTATTTGAGGTTCTCCATAACTGACAAAAAATTTAAGTTTTAATCAAGATGGGAATAAGAGTCATGCTACTTAACCACCAAGCAATTAATTTTGGAGGCATTTTTCCACACAAATAGCTTTTTAAGAAAACCTGAATGAAATTAGATGACAAAATGGCTACAGGTATATTAATGCTAGAGATATAGCACATTTTGCATGCATCATAAAGCACAAGTGCACTTAGTATGAAGGGCAATTCCTCCCATTTGCAGGTAACTATTAAGGCTAGTTTTACTGCCTTAATAATAGTTCATCCTGTATTACAATATTACTCTATGTTAGGGCTTTAATATTTATATTACTTGAACATTTTTGCAGTTGTGTAGTGATACGATATTGTCGTTACCAGCTGCCTGTAGAGACAATGGTTTTCATTTGACAATTTGTTCAAGCTGATCAATTCTTCTCTAAAACATGTGTGCAACTTTCCATTGATGACATGGTTTTTTCATATTACTGAGCCCAGCATAGCTATTTATCAATTATAACCTTAGCTTACAAAAAATATTTGATTGTATATTTGATTTTAAATGATTTTTGAAGGTGACATATTTGTTATATATAATTTATTATAAATATAAGATATAACTGATTTTAATGAAAATTATAGTAAATTAAATTTTATGTCTGCAATTTGCTTTTCATTAAATAGATTTCATAAAATAATTTGTAATATTTGATATTTAAAAAACAAGATATGTAAAAAATTGTTACTATTATGATTCTATATAGTGAGTTGTGAAAAAAAACTTGAGAACATAGCAAAGAAAATTATCTTCTTATAGTGCGTCTGCATTTTATTTTAACTATATTGTAAATGATAATATAATTCCAATCAAAATTCACCCTTAGTCATAAGATTCAATTTAGTAAAATGTAAAAATGCTGCTCATGTTATATTTGGGTAAAAATATTATTGATTACAAATTTGGAACTGCTTTACTCTTGTTTTCATGATAATTTTTTTTTGCTATATATTTGATGATACAACCAGTTTGAAATCGCAATGTAACATTCACAAGGAAATTGGTTGTGAATGTTATTTTAAAGGTTGTGCTAAAAGAGAGCATATTTGAAGAAAAAAAAATTGTCCAAGGTTTTAATTCATTATCTGTGAAAAAAAACCAATATATAAAGTTGAGAATGTGTTCTGAAAAGTGTTATATATATAATATTTAGTATGCATTTTGGAAAAAAAGAAGCTATAATTCACTAGTATCTTTAAAATACAAGGAGAATATATCAGACAGTGTCTTTTTTAAACTATTTTTTTTTCTAATAGATATTTTAGTTTTGAAATTTTTCTGAAATAAAAAATAAAATGCAAAAGACAATGTATTTCTAAATAAGGCCGCACTTGTGATATAATTTGTATGACTTATAACATTCCATTCACTTAATTGTTTCAAGACTATAATTGTAAATAATTAAGTCACACTTGGCTTTTATGGTGTCATAAACCGTGATTGAAATGAGAGGAAATTTTATACTTAATAATTCATCAAACCATTTTATTTTGAACTCTGAACATTTTGATATGCATGTGTTAACTGATTATTAACATTTAGAAAGCTAAGTATCACATAAAACACACTGAATATTATTATCTTTTTGGCAAACATGATATGCATTCAACCTGAATATCAGAAATCAGCAAATCAAAATTGGAAGGCTACAAATTAAGCCACAATAATTGTTTTTAGATCCCACCTAATGATATTTATATATTTGTGCATGTATAGGGTTGACAATTTGCAAATGTTTAAAGCAGGCTTCCATTTAATAGGTACTCTTTATACATTACACATTTTTTCAAAATATTTTCTATGCAATTTATGAGTTGTACATTTTATTCATTATATATTTATAAAGATATGCACATTATGTAGTTTGATATCAATATCATTTTATAACATTAATAAAACTTTTTAAAACAATTTTGTTTTGTTATGTACTCTGGCCAATCAGAAAACATGTATTTCACATTCTAAAGTTTTTTCTATATGGAGACAGTTAGCAAACACCTTTTTGATCAATTTGTTTGAATGCTGAATAGAGAATGTATGTTTTTCAGATGCTTGGTCTCAGTCTCAATATTGAAGTATATGACTATATTTACCAGAAATAGCACGAAAGATATGCTTGGATTATAAGAAATCCAATAACTAACACACGAGATAAACTCATTATAGACACCAGGATTAAATTTGTTGTACACGTGTGTAGTCTACAAAAGACTCATCAGTGCTGTTCGAATAAAAAAAGTTAAAAAGGCCAAATTAAAGTACAAAGTAAAGAGCATTGAGGACCCAAAATTCAGAAAGGTTTTGCCAAATGCAGCTAAGATAAACTATTCCTTAGTGTTTCGAAAAAATCAAAGTTTTGTAAACAGTTCATTTATAATTATGACCATACCAATGATATTTCAAGTCAACACAGTAGTGCTGATTACTGGTCTGGTGTCTGGTAATACCTTTGAGGAGGAAACAGATATATTAGATATAAGAGAAAGACACAGATAATAGATATCACAATGAATTGGTTTCAATAGGATACAAAATATGTGATAAAAATGCTTCAAAAAGATGTGTCAATCCTCAGTTATATATACAGCACAAATGATATGTATAAATGTTTCCCTGTTCCTCATTCTTTGTAATTTAAATGGGCAGTTTGCAGATACTATACAAATCATAGTATTAAGTAGTTATCTCTTAAATGTTAAGGACTAAATTTTTAAGCAATATGTTTACATTACGTAATCATTTTTTCCTATCTAAAGAGTGGTTAATGAACGAAATCTGATATCTATCGGAAATGATTTAAAATGAATGTTTCAATAAGTTATTTTGTTATTTCTGGTATCGATAGTTAAAAAAATCTGATCATTAGGTACGCCTGACGCACGTATCGTCCATATAAGACTGAGTGGTGGCACTCGAAACAAATTCTTTAGAAGGCCAAATCAAATACGAAGTTGAAAATCATTTTAAACGAAAATTCCGAAAAGTTGTGCCAAATACGACTTAGACAATCTACATCTGGGGGTATTACAACCTGAGTGTTTCAAATATTTCAAAATTTTATAAACACTTGATTTATAGAATATAAATTTGAGGGTATTTTTAAGCTCAGATTGCAGAAAACGGGTATTGACTTGGAACTTTTACAGAGATGTGTGTTGTCTGCTGTTTTTCGATATGAAATAAAAATGAAATATGCTTGTTTATCAGATACAAGTATTCGAAAAATTAGAATTTTTTAGGAAAATGTGGTTGAATATATTGAGTTAAAGTTGGAAACGCAAGATTCTGAAAATCCTTGTGGAGTTATTTGTATAGATTAGCTTTAAGTGTCGATTAAAACTGACAAAACAACGCTATTAACACCAAATCAACTGCATAACACGATGCAACAAATATAAAGAGATGAGTCGTTACACTTCATAGAAACTATAAAGTATAAGAAAGACACTGATACACTACATCAGAACCAAACTATTTCTATTAAGCATAAACACACAAGTATCCTCAGTATTAATAGGCGTTTTGAGTAAACATGCACCCCTCGCATAAGAGAAAAAACCATTCCAAACTTTGCATCCCAAACTATTTCTATATAACAACAATTAAGAAGCGTAGAACACATTTTTTGGAGGTTTTGACATTCTCCATAGAACGAAAATATTTAATAAGACTTCAAAATGTAAGTAATTGATAAAAAGAAGCATGCTTTTATTTAGAATATGTTGATATATTTTTATTTCACGAACAAACATTTGGTAAAATTTCAGTTTAGCCATGGTCATTTGATATCTATAGAGATTGTATTCAAACATTTACTACAGTTTTCGTTAATAGAGTTGGACATCATTAATTAAAATTGAATTAAAAATCTTATTTAAATTGTAGTAGCAAGCATCCTTATTCAAAAACGTCAACTCCGATTAGAAACAATAAGATATAGGTCAGATCGGTTGTCATTAATAAGAATAAAGCCTTGATGTATTAATATAGAAAGTTAGGTATGTTACCATTCCGTATGTAATACGACATAAAACTTAACTAGTTATCAAGGATATGTCCAACCGCCAAGTTATGTTACTCTAGAGTACTTTTCACCTCAGAAATGACTTTCGTACGGTGACCTGTAGTTGTTAATTTCTGTGTCATTTGGTCTCTTGTGGAGAGTTGTCTCGTTGGCAATTATACCACATCTTATTTTTATATTGAGTAAATTTATCAAATACAAATGAAACGCGAAATTTAGGCCATGGATACTTTACATTCATGTATAGCAAGAAACGCTAAAATTGTCAACGATCCCAGACTCGCTTCTTTTTGTGTATACCTTGCTTTGTCTTTTTAATCGATTAATAAGATTTGAACATCGGTAAAGTACTGTTGCCTATATTTGAATGAGAGTCTTGTATGCAGTGGTTGTAATATTTCCCGAACTTCTATTGAAATAAATGATAGCCAATGAAGCAAAATAAGTATAAAAATATAAAAAAGGCGGGATCAAAATTCGTCGGAAAAAGAACAAAAAAAACCTCTTGATATCACCACTGTGTATCATCGCCACCGGAAATTGGGTACTAACGAAGCGGAGAGAAATGGAAAAAAAAAGTAAACAAGGTAAGAATTCATTCAATTTAAAGCATTTCTACTGATTTGACGAGGGTACCGCTTAAGAAATGATTTTCTGATATATAATTCTTTAAATTATTAGGCCGATAAGTACAAAATTAAGACAATATTTTGTGTTATACTCCAAATCTTGCCACTTAGTACCTGAAAATTTCGAGGTCGATTGTCCTCTGTCGCCCCATTGGCAAGATATTCAACTGTTTTCATTATTTTTCCAGACACGTTTTTAGATTATGATAGTATGACATCATATTGACTGAAATCTGTTGTCATAAAGATGTTTTTAAAGAATATGGACCAAAACATTGTTTGTTTATTGTACGGCGAATTGCAGGACGTTGTACGGCGAATTGCAAAATAACAACTTTTGTCTGTACGGCGTCTTGCAATATATTGTAATTTAAAGATGAAATTAATCACTGTTTAGATAATATCAAGTGACGAAATTTTGGCTGTATCAAAGCTTTACCGGCTTACAAATATACAAAATAAACTACTTATCAAATATTATAAGATATATGCCGTTAATTTCGTTCAGAAGTCGTCGTTGCGTACCTCTATTTGACTTTGTGTTTTTAAAGACAAAAAGTTTTTTTTCAACCATATTATCCTAAATACATTCATATATCGTTATAATACTAACGACTGTTGTCTTATTTGTTGTCAGGGTGAAATTTTGTAAGTTCAATAAAAAAACCGACCATTCATGATCTTTTGTTGGCGCTGTTTTTTTTTTTTTAAATATAAACAGTGGAGATGTTGTATGATTGCAAATAAGATAACTATCCACCAGGGTCAAATAAAGTGTATGTAAGCAATTATATGCTATCGTTTGGCCTTCAACAACGAAAAATCGTACCTTACAGTCGGCTATAAAAAGCCCCGCCATGAAAATTGTGGAAGGATTCAACAAGAAAACTAACGGCCTAACTCATAACAAAACAATTAACGAAAAATAACAAATATGATAGAGATGAACCAACGACAACCACCAAACTACAGGCTCGTGGCTTCGGACAGACACATAAAGAATGTGCTGGGTAAAATAGATATAGGAAGATGTGGTATGAGTGCCAATGAGACAACTCTCCATCCAAGTCACAATTTATAAAAGTAAACCATTATAGGTCAAGGTACGGTCTTCAACATTGTTTATTGTTTATTTTTTAAATTTCTGAAATGAATAATTTGTTAAAAGAAAAGTGAAGAAAATACTTTGTTTTCATTGAAAATTAGGAGAAATAAATCATGAATTGTGTTTCGAATTAATTTTCTTGTTTCTTATTGAAAATAAGATTCTATTTTTTGAGTTTAAATAAATTCAATCAATCTTTTTATTTACAGGGAAAAAATAATAAAAGACTGTTGCTAAGGCTGTTTGGCCTAAACTTAAATGAGTAGATGGAGGGGTAGTGAAAAGGAGTGTATTCGTCCGAATTTTCATTGTTACAGTAGTACATTTTCATGATTACTATGTATAATATTTCTCAGTAAATTTTAATGTGATATTGTGCCAATTAAAATTATATAAATAATACAAGTAAGACTTGCATTTGCCTTAAAAGATATAGCAGTACGTGATTATTTGTTTTCAAACACACCTTCTCTGTTTTGAAACTTATAAAGGTATGGATCTAGGCCTATCTGTTTGGTTGAATATAAATGTGAATTCATAGAGTTTCAAAATCAACAGTAAACCCTATTTTTATGTGTGTGTAAATAATCTAATCTTTAGATAGATGCTAAAATTAAAATCATTTTTCTTAACGAAGAAAAAAGTGCAACTTAAGCACGCCTGAATGTAAAAAGGTGTACCCGACTTATTCGTTCACGATAAGAATTTACAGATTTCGGTATTTTAACAAAACTGTTTACGAGGGCAAATAAATAAATGAACGCTATCAAATCAACATTTAAATTTACGTGAATTTTTCCAAAAGAATTTGTGAGTATGCACCATCAGGATTCAAAAATATTTCAACCTGTCCTTATTAGATGTTATTTCATTATAATTCTTTAAACTTACAAGTCGGAGATGCTAGCTTTTGTGAATTGTATTAATAAGTATATAATATTAAGATGACAACCAAAAAAACTTCATACAAGGTCATCTTTATTCTCAAGTAGAAAGTTTTTATAAATAGTTTATGCCGTAGCCACAGCCGGATTTGTATCCCTTGTATCGGATTCTTCTTTCATTCTTTCCAAAAATGATTAATCTAAGGTTAATATTTTTTTTAAATTTAAACAGTGTTAGCCACCGAGCTTGTTCATTTCTTACTATATAG